TAACATTAAAACTGAAAATGTACAACGTTCGAGCGGCCAACTAGCCAAATAATAGAAATAATACAAGGAGACCTTATCAGAATGGTCTAGAGCTATACACAACTCAAAAAATAATACATTGCTGTGACAAAAAGGTTAATGGTAGTAGAGTATACTGCGGACACGTCCCTTTGCAACAGCTGCAAAATAACATAACTAACCACAATGGCGGATCCAGAAATTTTCACGAGGCAGGGCAAAAAATAGTTGAAGAAAATTTTTAACCATATTGCACAAAGTACTTATATTAATAATATATAAATTATTGAAGCAATCAGGTCTTGATGGGTTCCCTATTCAATATGCATTTGAATTGATGCTAAAAAATAAAATGGAGAATGAGATCTGGTTATTTGATTTCACGTTTTTAGTATTATTAATAAATATACATAAAATATTATACAATCCCGTTTCCATAAATTTATAAGTTATAAACAAGTTACATTGAAATAAAATTTATTAATTTTAAAAAAAAAGTCTAATTCTCATCATTTTAGGTTATGTTATTTTATAAGAGTTCCTTATGGGTTATCTTCTCACTTATAAATGTAGAGTTTTTCATCCATGTTTATTAGAACTTTCAAATTTAAACACTTGGCTAATTTAAATTATAAATATATTTAAATGTTAATAACATTTATATTTGTTATCTGTTTTTATATATTATAAATTAAACTAATCATATTTTGACGATCTATAGTTTGGCATTAATACCTTATATATAAACTAAAAAAATTATATCTATCAGATCTCTATCAATAAAAAATTAAATATTTATTAACTATAACTGAAAAACAGTAAATTTATCTATCAAGCCTATTATACAGTATAAATATTAAAAATATTGTAACACAATGCAGTCAAATTTGACAGGTGAGGTGTATCATTTTAAATAAAAAAATAATAGTATTTTGTAAGAATTATTTAAAATTTTAAAATTATAACTTGTATTTATATTTTTACAAATATTAAATATAAATTTACAATTAACATATGTAATGATATGAAGTTAACACCAAAAATCCATCCTAGGCTGGCCCATATGTGGATCCGCCACAGACTAACCACTGATCAAAGAGTCTAGCTAGGAAGAGGAAAACAAAACAGAATTGGACAAAGAAATAAACAAACAATAAACCAAACTAGATGGAAGACAAATCCCACCACTCCAAAAGAGCAGTATCTACTATCTCTTTCTCAGGTTTCCAAATGTTTTGAAGCACCCATAAATTCCGGGCCTTCCAGAGCCACCAAAGTAAATAATTGGTAAGCTCGATTCTGTCCACCGCTTCAGGATCTTTTGGAGTAAGGCAAACCTGCTTCCACCAGTGCATAAAGTCCTCTGAGCTGACAGGGTCATGTTCCACCAAATGAGGGCTAGTTTCCATACGAGCCGAGCTCTGTGGCAGTTAAAAAAACAGGTGTGCTACATCCTCTTCAGCTTCTCCACAAACTTTGCAAATAGGGTCGAGTACCTCACCTCTTTTGATCAGATTCCTGTTGACAGGAAGGATTTTGTTGCAACATTGCCAGAGGAAGTGCTTGATCTTCCTTTTAACCTTTAGTTTCCAGCTGAAAGTTCGGATCATCTGCATCCAGATTTGGTGAGAACTGGATTCAACAGTGTCTAGGCCTCTAACTTTTTCGAGAATTAAGTTAGCAAAGGAAGAGGTTATAGTGAAAGATCCTTTCTTGTCAAATTTCCAAGCAAACCTGCCTTTTCTATGTTTGTCAATGGTGGTGATACTAAGAATAGCTTGACAATCGGAGTCTGTGAATATACTTCTTATCAATTCTTCATTCCATCCATCTCCATTTTCAAGCATTAGCTGAGAGACCCAAATAATGTTAGTGAAATGGTCAGCGAGATTGCGATTCTGGGGCCTATGAGAAGGCAAAGATGGGATCCAGGGGTGCTCCCAAATTCGAGTTGTCATGCCATCTCCTACTTCCACAAAAAACCCCTCAATGAATGTGTCCTTTGTTTTCATCCAGCTTCTCCAGAGTCATGAACTAGTTTGTGGTATTTTGCAATCAAAAAGCGAGCAGCCTGGAAAATATCTAGATTTTAATACTCTACTGACTAAGAGGTTCAACTTAGTGAGGATTCTCCAGAGTTGCTGTAACACCCCGTTTTATTTTAAAGAATTTACCGAATTTATTTATAAAAATCAGAGTTATTTTTTAAAAAAAAAAAAATCAATCCAAAATTTAAAACTCAACGGGCACTACTTAGCTATTAACAACATTTAAACAATTATGACACATAGACAAATACACGCGTATAAGTCAACATTTATCAAATTGATCTCAACTTATCCCAGTTTCAACATCATCCAAAACGTTTAACATAAACCATAGTTTCAACGGGAACATAAATAATCCAAATTCAACGGAAGCATTAATTATCCAAAACGAAAGCAAGTAGTTTTTCATAAATAAAATCAAGCGGAAGCAACAGACACATCCATTTATGACCACCATCTCGCTCGTCTTTACGCCACCGCCTCCAGCTCGTCTCAACCTAAAGCAAAGAAAGAGAAGACACAACAAAGAAAAATAATGAGGTGAGCATAACCAACAAGCTCACCATTATCACACAGTTTATCCCGCATAACATTTTAAAACAGTAACACAATATTCAGTATGCATAGAATCCAACCGTCTAACTCCCTACTTGGCCCTATCGCAAACCTCCTATATACATACAACAACCTTCCGATCATACAAGGCAAGGAAGTAACTGGAAACCTTCCCATCACCGAATGGCTGCGGGCCTAGGATCCTTTCCAGGAGACAGTAGAGATGTTTTTCCCTTTCACGAATATCATATGGACCGGGGCGTCACCTCTCCGAATCTACGGGCCGATGACCTCTCACTTTTTATGCATTCCTCAAAGGCACTAACATACGGACACTTAGACTAGGGTTCTCATGCATACGTCATTTCTCAAAGACACTAACATACGAACACTTAGACTAGCAAGTTATGTCGACAGCTCGACACATGTTGGCCTTATGGACTCGCCCGCATGCTCCACACGGCGGTGGTTGTAATAGCCCATTTTGAACTTAATGTAAATTACGTACTTCGTTCGTAATGTTCATATCATTCTCGGGATCATTAAATATCCAAAGTATAAGTCAATTTATGTTCAATCGCCCGATAAAAATATTATCGAATCAAATCGTACTTAATCGAGCGGTGAATGTGCTAATCTCGCACTAATCGTGCGTGATCATGCGCATAATCGTACTTAGAGGTTCCTTAAGTATCTTAATTATGTCTATTTAAGCCTAAGTAATCATTCTACTATCATACGTTCTTAAACATTGGTCATTGCACGGCTAGGGTGCATAATTTCTTGCTAAACACCTTAACCTAGGTTAATCGCGCATAATCATGCCCTAAACGTGCTTAAGTATTTAATGAGCTCAAGTGGGCAAAACTTGGGACAAAGTCACGTGAACAATAGCCTTTCCTAGCCAAGTGGCCTTGTGGTGCCAAGTAAGTGATGACTAAGCCCATGAAAGTACACCTCGTGCCCTAGGAACGCGGCAAATGGCACGAGCTCATTGGCTAGAGCATTTTACCTCACGTTTTCATCTCCTTTCACCGCTTTAAAATCCAACGTTGGGACATATTTTTAGTACATAACCTAAGTATTTTCCTAAGCAAGCCTTAAGCAACTATAAGCAAGATTAAGATATATTAAACTACTTTATCGTACGCGCGCAAAAGAGAAGAAAAGGATCGAACCAACACCAATTTCTTGCCAATTTTCTTCGGGCAACCAAAGGGTAATATGATTCTAACCCTGTTATGATGTTACTTGTATCATACCAAGTTTAAATTATAGGTCTAAGTTCATGTAATAATCGAAAATGTTCTCGGGTGCACATTTTAAGCCCTAGTGATTCATCTCTTTATATAGCCAACTTCTCTCGAGCAAACCATGCATCATTAGTCTTTATTTAATGTGATATGTTCAGTTTTAGAAGATGGAACGAGATAAGTATTCATTTTGTTGATGATTTGGCTAAGGGAAGTGGACCGCGCACATAGCGCGCGCCCACGGGCCATTCCTTGCCCTACTAGGGTATCTTTCATTGTGATCAACTTTGTTAGGGACATTTGTGTTCCAACAGCATTTAAATGATAAATTATGGTCAATCAACTCATGTTGCTCGAGAAAAGTTCATGTTTGGTCGAGGGTACGCGTTAGGGCCGTCGGACGCGCCTATCGCGCACGCTGTGGCCCATCATGTCAAATAAGATCAAATTTCATGTTATTATCATGACCCTCACACCCATGTAAGTATAAATGTGTTAATCATGTCATGTTATGTCATTTTGATCAAGGAAAGTGGCCGAACGGCCGGCAACGGCCGGTCACGGCATGCTGCCGCACATAGCGGCCATGCCGGCAGTGCTGTCTCAGTGTCATGTATACGCGACCCCGAGACAGTCACTCGTGCCACGCACAGTCGACCTCGGGTCGTGCCATCAGCGCACCCGAGTAATTGCTACCATGCCTCAGTGAACCCGGGTAAGGTTCACAGGTCTCGGGACGTGCCCTGCTGCACACCCGAGCAATCAGTTGGCCCGGGACGTGCCCAACAGCACGCCCGCGTGCCCAGGGTCGCCCGGCAGCGCCCTGACAAGCCTCAGTCGCACCCGAGACGCGCGAGAAAGGTCTGGTCGCATCAGCCCTCGCGCCAGCCGCACCTGGGTCGTGCCAGCCGCACGCCCAGTGCCCAGTCAGCCCGGGTACATGTCTATTTCGTGTCCCTCGCGCTCGGCCAGTGCCAGGGCCAGTGCCAGCCGCACTGCCCACGCCAGCAGCGCCTAGTGCCGAGGCCCGGTCACACCTAGCCCGTGTCCAGTGCTGTGCCATGGCTCCAGCAGGCCCGGCACGGGATC